AAGGACTGATGCTGAAGCTGAAACTCCAGTACTTTGGCCACCTCATGTGAAGAGTTGACTCATTGGAAAAGACCCTGATTCTGGGAGGGATTGGGGACAGGAGGAGAAGGGGACGACAGAGGATGAGATGGCTGGATGGCATCACCAACTCTATGGAAATGAGTTTGAGTAGTCTGCAGGAGTTGGTGATGGACAGGGAGGCCTGGCATCCTGCGATTCATGAGGTAGCAAAGAGTTGGACATGACTGAGTGACTGAACTGAACTGATATATAATAAAGGCACCCAAATTAAAACAGCTATGAAGAGTCAACATCATGTGTCAGACAAAGATTTACTTTGTTAACAAGATTTACTACCTCTCTGGCTAGTTTGAAACAAAACTGGTTTTCTCATTATCAAAATTGTCCATATGTATTCATAATGAAAGCATTAGAAAACCTAGCATGCTGTCTCCACCTCATTTTGGCATCACGTTTTAGGAAGAACATTGACAAAGAGAAGACCCAGGAGAGTGTACTCAAGTTGGTTCAGTGTAGGAAACTTTGTAGTAGAAGGAAGGAGAGGAAACTCTCCTATAGAAGAGAGGGGGAAGTTGGGAGGGGCTATTATAAACAAAGTCCATTGAGGGAAACTGAAAGATTGAAGTATAGTGGTTTTTCATTGGCTGAGCTGTTGCCAGCTAAAGGGAAAAAAAAAAACTTTCTTCCTCTTTACGGTGATAGTAAAGCAGTGTTACTTCCTGCCGGAGATGCAAAGTATACCTCTTTCTGTTGGGATCTGAGAGGGGGCTTTCCAAGTGTCTTTTCCAATAGATGAGATCTCCAGGTTGCAAGGTTTGATGCTTGAGGTCTTCATTTCCATGACTATGTTTTCCCTTTGGTGACCATGAGTTTGTTTTTGAAGTCTGTGAGTCTGTTTTTGTTTTTTAAATAAGTTCATTTATATCATTTTTTCTAGATTACACATATAAGTGATATTGTATGATATTTGTCTTTCTCTGTCTGACTTCCTTTACTTAGTATGATAATCTCTAGGTTCATCCATGTTGTGGCAAATGGCATTATTTCATTCTTTTTTATGGCTAAGTAATATTCCATTGTAGGGGCTTCGCAGGTGGTTCAGTGGTAAAGAATCCACCTGCTAAGCAGACCTGGGATCAATCCCTGGGTTGGGGAGATCCCCTGGGGAAGGAAATGGCAACCCACTCCAGTATTCTTGCCTGGGAAATCCCATGGACAGGAGCCTAACGGGCTACAGTCCATGAGGTTGCAAAGAGTCAGACACAACTTAGCAACTAAACAGCAACAACAAATATTCCATTGTATATAAGCACCATATCTTCTTTATCTATTCCTCTGTCAGTAGACATTTGCATTGATTTCATGTCTTGGCTTTTGTAAATAGTGCTGCAATGAACATTGAGAAGAAAAGGGAAGTGTCTTGCTCTCCACTGTAAGAAAGGCAGAACTAAGTTCTAGATATAGGATCCACTGACTCTAAGAGTGAATCTTACACTTTGGTATAATAAACATCACCTGGGAAACCTATTAACAATGTAGATTACTTTTTAAAATCCTTGCTCCAAATGCTGATTCAGTATGTCTGGAGTTAGACTTGGAAACCTGTGATTTTCAACAGGCACCCCAAATAATTATGATACAGATGGTCCACAAACTTAACTTTGACAAATATCGTATTATAAGGAAGAACTTTAATAATCAGAGCTAGGACAACCAGCAGAACACAGGTGCCTGGAAAGATGGGCTCAAAGAGGGTGTTTATGAAGAAGTTGGTGGCTGTCTTTCAAGGATGCTATGGGGGGGGTGTACCTCTGCTTTGGGTAAGAGGCTAGGCAAGGAGATCTCCAAGAAAGGCTCCAGTTTAAATATTCTATTTGCAGCTCTCTTAGAATTAAGCAACAGTTTTGAAAGAAAAAAAAGAGCATGTGTAAACAAATTATGTATTATCATTTCTTTTAAAAAACACCTTTGAAGAAAGCCAACCTGTTGGGTT